ATCCCAGGACCCGGGGATCACGACCTGAGCCCAAGGCTGACACTTAACGACTGAGCCACCCACTTAATAGACAGCATAACATTCAAGTGATTTCCCACTCATGGCTGAAGAATGCACTGAGAAAGAAAAAGAGAAAAGAAAAAAGAGCTTGCGAGCGGGCAGAGAGGGTGAAGCCCTTCCAAAAGTGCACGCCTCTAACAGCCTCGGACTAGTGGATTCTGCTTTAACTAAGCACCGGCAATAAAAAGAGCACTGAGGGTGGCAGAAACAAAGAAGGCTAAAATAAAAACGCTGTGTTGCAGGAAAGGGCAGGCCCCATCAGAAAATCCATTACTAGCCCAACACCCCACTTTAGAAGCCACTCCAAGTGCGGAAAACATGAGGAGAGCTCCTCTTTTCCACAACCCTTAATTCCCAGCCCTAGTCTGTTTCCTTGTGATCCCAGAGGAAAGAACATGGCCGGATCACAAAGACTGGGTTGAGAGGTCGGCCCTAACTTTCCATGTACCCGTTTTCCACGAGCTGAAACTGAAACGTGCAGCAAAGGCCCCTAGTGCAGCCCACACGAGTCTCGGTTGCCCAAAGGGCAGTCTGTGTCCTTGTTTCCTCGCGGTGAGGAACTGGCCCGAGGTTCAGCCAGGCTACAGCTGGAAAAGGCTGGGTGCGGGGAGGCGCTCCACCGCCCCGGCCCCGGGACGACAGCCCTGCACCCCTGCCTGGGGCTCGCTCTTGAGCGTCAGGCTGAAGGAGCAAACAGCAGAGATGCCCCGGGGAGAGGCCCTGGACAACGGCGTGGGGGTGTGTATTTGTACACCTGGGGTACAGCACACCCATGTGTTGTTTCTACCTGGAGATCCCTCCTTCCCTTGGCTGCTTCCTATCTCTGCCCCCATCTCTTCTTAAGCTCCTCCCCCACCCTCAAATGCACGGTCTCCGTCCTTTACACCCACCCCACAAAGTGCCAAGGTCTCAGGTTCCTCTAGCCCTCCTTACTGTTCCCCCTCCCCTGGAAGCCTCTAATGCCCACCCCCCATTTGGTGTCAGGACGTCCCCCAAGGCTCTGCCTGACCCCCCAATCAGGGCTCAATCCCCCTTGCCAATGTCTCTGAATTCCCTCATCACCCACACCCCCGTCAGGGGTCAGCACCCCCGACCCCACATTCCCCTGCCCAGCCAGGTGCCCTCCCGCTCTGTCTTCCCCCAGATCAGAATCAGATCGCCCCTCCACTCCCCTCTCCTCCGCCAAGGTCCCCGCTCCACACCCTGCGCAGTCAGGTCCCCTCCGGACCCGCCCCCCACCCCCCGGGCCCTCAGGACCCTCCCGGGCCTCCGTCTATCCCCCACCCCCGCCCAGGGGTCCCCGCGCTCTGGCCCTCCAGCTGTGCCCCTCCGGGGCCACCCTCGGCCAAGTCTGCTCCCTACTCGGGCTTCTGTGCCCGCCTTGGGGGCCGCTGCCCTCCCCACCTCAGGCCTGAGCGCCCCCTCAGGTATGGACCCCCAGCACCGCCAGCTCTCCCTCCCGGCTGCGCGGCCATCTTAGCTGGCGCAGGCCTCCCAGCCCGTGTCCCGCCTGCTTCCGGCCAACACGCCGGCCCGCGGCTTCCCCGGGGCCGGGGTCGGACCCGCGTCCGGCCAGCGGCGCGGGCGGCGCTGGGGCCGTTACCTGTACTGTGGGCCGGCGCCCCACGCGAAGCCGGAGCAGTTACTCGCCGCCATCTT